CGGAGGAGATCGGCCCGGGGACCAGGGGCACATGTTCGGGTACGCGACGGACGAGACGGAGGAGCTGATGCCACTGACTCACGTGCTGGCGACGAAGCTGGGAGCGAAGCTGACGGAGGTTCGGAAGAACGGGACGTGCGCGTGGTTGAGGCCGGACGGGAAGACGCAGGTGACGGTGGAGTACCGGAACGAGGGGGGAGCGATGGTGCCGTTGAGGGTGCACACGGTGCTGATATCGACGCAGCACGACGAGACGGTGACGAACGAGGAGATTGGAAGGGATTTGAAGGAGCACGTGATAAAGCCGGTGATTCCGGAGAAGTACATGGACGAGAGGACGATATTCCATCTGAATCCGTCGGGGCGGTTCGTGATCGGAGGTCCGCACGGGGACGCGGGACTGACGGGTCGGAAGATCATCATCGACACGTACGGGGGGTGGGGAGCGCACGGAGGGGGTGCATTCAGCGGGAAGGACCCGACGAAGGTGGACAGGAGCGGGGCGTACATCGTGCGGCAGGCGGCAAAGAGCATCGTGGCGGCGGGGATGGCGCGTCGGTGCATCGTGCAGGTGTCGTACGCGATCGGGGTGCCGGAGCCACTGTCGGTGTTCGTGGACACGTACGGGACGGGGAAGATAGCGGACGGGGAGATACTGAAGATTGTGAAGGAGAACTTCGACTTCAGGCCGGGGATGATGTGCATCAACCTGGACTTGAAGCGGGGCGGGAATAAGAGGTTCCAGAAGACGGCGGCGTACGGGCACTTCGGGCGGAACGATCCGGACTTCACGTGGGAGATGGTGAAGCCATTGAAGTGGGAGAAGGCGCAGGCGTAAGGAGATGTCGAGAGGAAGGGAGTATATGGCGGGAGGAAGAAGGGATAGGGAATTGAGTAGGGATGGAAGGGGACGGGGTGATGCGAGCTCCCCCCAGAGGAGTGTAGCGCAGGGGACTGCGATTGGATGAATATGAATCACAAATTATTATTTGTTTGTCATGTAAGAGTAAGAGCATGGATGTGTGGGAACGATGGGGGGAGAATGGTCGGGAGGTGGG